TGAGGTCCCCCTGTCTCTCTGCTCACTTCTGTCTTTTATATCTCAAGACATTGTCTCAGGACACAATCCAGTCTTGTAGATCCAGTCCTGCCTTACTAGCACAACTGCCACCCATCCTCCCTCATTAACATCATAGAGGCAGGTTTACAACATCAGGAAAATCACAGTGTACCAGGGATCATGGCCTAGCCGAATTGATACACACATTTTTGGGGGGACATAATTCAAACCATGACAGTTGGTAAAGTAGAGGGTCATCGAAAAAGAGGAAGACCCTCAATGAGATGGATTGACACAGTGGATGCAACAATGGACTCAAACATAGTGACAATTATGAGGATGGTGCAGGACCAGGCAGTATTTCATTCTGTTGTACATAGGATTGCTATGAGTAGGAGCTGACTTGATGGCACCTAACAACAACAGACAAATGCCAGTAAATATTGTATTATATACTCTCAATTCCATCATGAGTATCTGGATAAATGAATGCTTTAAAATGAAAAATACTAAGCTTTATGTGCTAAATATATCTGATAGCATTCATTCTTGGCAACCCTGCATGCAAGAGCATATCTCTAATGATTGAGTGATGGGCAGTTTTATCAGATATCACCCTTATGCAAATCTAAATTCTGTGGTACCAAAGGCATGACCTTTCTTAAAGATCTTATCTAGATCGTGTTTAGTGTGGACATTATTTAGTTCTAACAGAGAACATTTTAGTCACTTGTCATTATTATTTCCTTATCATCCCCCTTTCTCCATTTACTCTTGGTTCTTGTGACACCTGAAACCTAAAAAGTCTTGAGTACTGTAATTGAGTCATAATGTATTTCTAAGTATAGTTCCTTCTATTAGGAGCCCTGGTGGCACAGTGGTTAAGTGCTCAGCTGCTAACCAAAAGATCAGTGGTTCAAACCCTCCCAGTAGCTCTGTGGGAGAAAGATGTGGCAGTCTGCTTCCATAAAAATTACAGCCTTTGAAACCTTATGGGGTTGTGCTACTCTCTCTTACAGGGTCGTTAAGAGTCGGAATGACTCAGTGGTAGTGGGCTTGGTTTTTTGTGTTGTTTTATTTTTATCATGTTTAAGTTAAAAAGACAAGTAAGTTGTGAAGGTGCATCTTGATTTCCAAAAGCATTGAAAAATAACATTAAGTGTGCAAAGAAGGGGCAGCTGACTCTTTGGTAAGGTTTCATCAGAGCTCTGCATATAAAGGTTAGCTGTCAGCTCCAGGAAATATAGCACAACCATTTTTGTCCCTTCACCCAGTGATAAATCAACTAAAAATAAATCCCAGTACACAGGGTGATAATATTGAACACACCATAGTCTTTGTGAATGGTGCCCCTGCAGGTGTGTGGTGCACAGCCTGCATGGCCATGCATGGTGACCCTGCCTAGAAGTGACATCACAAGCGAACAAGCCACCTGAAGGCACTCTTAGAAGGGGAAGTAGCTCAATAGCTTGATGAAGTAGCAAGAATGAGGTTATTTAATTAAAAGTCAATACTACTGTGTCTTCTTAGAAAAACTGTCTTGGGCAAGCCAGCTGGGCTGTCTGAGCCTTGGTCTTCTCTTCTGCAGCTCTCCCTCCTTGCAGAATTGTGAACATTCAACATATGAGGGAAAGCTGTATATATAAATGTGGATTTTATTTTAATACATAAAGGAGAAACTTACAGGAAGGAAGGAATAGTCCCACCTGCCTTGCTTTGGTGACTGGATGGGGAGAGAGAATAGGGCATTAATAGAGTCCCTGCATGATGCAAAGGGTTAATGTGCTCAGCTGCTGACCAAAAAGTCAGAGATTTGAGTCTACCCAAAGGTACCTCAGAAAAAAGGCCTGGTGATCTACTTCCAAAAATTCAGCCATTGAAAACCCTGTGGAGCACATTTCTACTCTGACACACGGGGCCCCCATGAGTTGGAGTTGACTCACTGGCAGCTAGAAGGGCATTTAGAGTATGCGCTTCAAGTTTGTTATAGCACCAGTGAGGGGGAAAATCTCTCTTTTTTTTCTTCCGGCTACTCCCAGGAGCAATGGCTCCTAAACAAGCAGCCTGCCCACTTCCCTACAAAAGCACGGCATCCATGTCGCCAAGAAGATCCACCCTCATCTGTCTTTGCTGACTTCCCACGGCAGAGTAAAGGCAAGGACACACTGAGCTCACCAACACCTTTGCAACCACGTGAGTTCCTCTGTGCTGTTGCTACAGTGAAAACTGAATACCATCAGACTCAGCCCTCAAAGAGTCTCAGTTGCAAGCCCAAGCAGAACTAACTGCACATAAAGAGCAGAGGGGGGCAGAAATCAATATTTACCCAGTGGAAACGAAAAGTCAATTGAGGTGGGAGAAAATGTTATCTCTAAGCCTTTGAAAGCAGTGGTTTAGATGTATCTGTACCAGCATGTTAAGAAGGAAAGGGAGATACAAAAAGTAGAGAGCCTTTTCCATTTACGTTCTTAATTATAAAGAGCTCAATAGTTCATAAAGCATTTCTTATGCTAGAATTTTACATGCAGAAGCTACAGTTCTCAATATTAGAAAATTTTCTTAGGCTATTTAAACATTTGGACTTAACTCCCCAGATTGTACTTGAACATTCAGTTGGGTTGTTGCTTCCTGCTTAATTTATTGTGTGTGTGTGTGTGTGTGTGTGTGTGTGTATCTTTAGTGTTTCAGAATAGGTGTATTTAAATATGCTTTCAAATTTGATGATCAGGTGAGTGGGAGAGATGATTATGAGTTTCTATAGAAGGCTAAATCCTATATGTTTATGTTCATAAGTGTATTGGTAGTGTTAATAAATAATTAAGTCAAAAGTTGGAAATTATTTCAGTCACGTGCACATCTTACATGTAGGGTCATAGGCAGTTTGATCAATGGCTTAATTAATAAAAAGAGACCTCAATGCAAAATCAAATGTGCCCCTCCAACTCCTCATCAGATTTTCTCCTACAAACTGGTAAAGTTGGTTTAAGCAAAAAATGACCTTGTTGAGCCTTGGGGTCAGACTGTGTGCAAAGTCTGTTTCTCTTTTGGTGGTGGGAGTGAATAGTCAATAGCCAGTGAAGAGAAGGAGGATACCTTCTTACTTATAGTTTCTGTAGCTGCCCTAGATTCCTCCTTGGAGACTCCAGGCAGTACAGAGCTAAGAAAATAGTCTGACTGGGGAACCAAGACACTGGTCTCTATCTTGCCACCTAGAGTTTGACTGCCAGCCTCTTGGACCTGGTCCCACATCTCCCCCACCTGCTCTCATCCATTAACCATATGAGCTGGACTTTGCTACCGAGTTTGACTGACTGTCTAAATTGACTTTCTATGGCCCTGGTGCATAAAGCCACTCTGAGTGTGTTACCTTAGAACAATAACCACATGCCCCGCCCCCCACCAAAAAAAATACCTTCCTAAGTAATTTGGTAGCAAATTTCTTTTGTGCTATTTCTTTTATTGCTGTTTCTCAAATAGCAAGATAAGACTGAGGTAGAATCCTGTCTTGGACTTTTAAAAAATAACTCTTTCATGATTTATGAGCATTCTGCCTAAAGACAGAATCAATAGAGAGAAGGAAAAGATCAGGGGAGAACAATCCAATAAGTAACTTTAAGCCTATAGCACAGTGTTACTTTTTTGAAGTTCTGTATTGCCACTTTATATATAGTACTCCGTGTGTGTGTGTGTGTGTGTGTGTGTGTGTGTGTGTGTGTGTGTGTGTGTGTGTGTGTGTGTGTGTGT